CCCACCCCCCAAGGCTGCTGCTGCTCCATTTTATTTTAATAGTCATATTTCCCGCCCCCCCTTTAAAACTGATCCATAGGAGTGGACCAGCAAGACCAGAGGTAGCGGAAGGGTTGCCCTCCTCCTCCTCCTCCCCACCCCTTAAGGGGCGGTGATCGTGGTCGAGAGGAAGAAAAGGATGCCACGGAAGCTGTTGTTGCCTTATAAATCTGTTTTTTCTCACTTTCGAGCTCCACGGGGGCTGCATGACTCTTTGGCGATGAACGCGGCCAGAAGTGGCTATCGGGTCTTCTCGGCCAACTCCACGGCAGCCTGCACCGAGCTGGCGAAGAGGATCACGGAGTAAGTTCCCTCTCTTTCAAGTTTCTTCCCCGCTTCCCGGAGCTCCTCCGAGCACACAGGCTTTCCGCAAAGCGGACGGAGAGGCTTTTGGCGTCCTCCCAACACCTTTGCTGCAGAGGTTTTGCACTGGGAGCGTTCAGCAGCTCTGCCTTTCGCCTCCTCAGCGCTGGCTCATCCCTCCCAATAAGTCGCTTGGACCCAGTGATGAAAATGGGCCGGCTGCTTTCTGCATCCTGTGTCTCCGACATCCATTTCAATGCTGGAAATGCCAGGTTGCAGCAAAGGCTGTTATTTTGGGGGCGGGAGAAGGTGAAAATTGGCTGAACAAACCTCAGAAAGCGTTTTAACTGGTTTGGGAGATGCTCAAAACTTTCTCTGCTGTTTTTTGTGGGGATGGGCTGGTGACCCTGCTTGGGGCATGGGGAGCGTTGCCTGTGCGGACCTCGGTGCAACACCAGCAGCTGCGCTAACCAAAGTGAATTAGTGAATCTGCATTTTGGTGAGGCGGGAAAGGTGGGCAATACATGCTAACAGAAGAGAGTTTAGTTTAGGAATAGCAGTGTGCACCCTTTTTTTTTTTTTTTTTTGTAGCCCGTCTATTTGGGCAGAATTTGACCTTGGCTTGGCAGGGATGGATGCACTGGGTCCTGCTGTAACACCTGGCTTCAAAATGGGGCTTTTGCTGCACAGAGGAGCACTGAGTTTACCCTGACACTTGATCTTTTGTTTTGAATTAATTTGGTTCAAATTGGGGTGCTCCCAGCTGAAAGGGCTTTTCTGAGACAGGCAAATGTGTATTTGGAGATGTCATTCTAAAGCAGAAATTGGGTTTCCATTCTGCTGCTTCTCAGCTACAGTTCATAGGAAGCTGCTCCCAAAATCAAGGGGGCTGAGTGCTTGTTTGTCTGCCGCTGCAGATAGCATACTTGCTACCCCTTAGGCAGCTGCTGGCCTGTTCCCATTGCCAAGGGCATGCTGAAATTGGAAACATTACTAAATACAGGTGTGCTGCCACCTTAAACTGCAGAACATTTTGTTATTCGTCCAGCTAGCTTAATAAACAGTGTGTTCAATTCTTAACGCAGATTATCTCCACAAAGCTGACTTGGCTGTTTGGCTGGGATCGCTGGTGTTGATGTGACTTGCGTTGGATAATAGTGATGGACTTCTTTGGGTGTGAGATGGAGAGGGAAATCCTTGTGTTTGGGAGTGGAAAGTTTTGTGTGTGTGTTTTTTTTTTAATTCATGTATTTTTGCTATATTTGGTCAGTTCTCTATCACTTTCCCTTTGCTGATACAACTCTGAAAATAAAGTCTCTGTATATAAAAAAGTAAATTTTGCTGCAACAGATGGGATATGGTTTTACAGGGCTTGTCCTGTCGCATCAACACAGAACATAACAGAAGTCCCCTGGGGATGAGCTCCAAATTCTCAGGACTGAAAGAGCAAATGGGCAATCTTTATTCTCTGCTCTTTGTCTTAAAAATAACTCACTATTTTTTTAAAGATGTAATGAGAAGAGACACTGAGCAGGTTTCCCGGGGCCGTGGCACACACAGCTGGCTGTGTGACGTGCTGCTGTAACCCTCTGCGGGGTTCCTAGTGATGCTCTGAGGGTGAATGACAGCAGGATCGAGAGAGTGGCTGTCCTTCATGAAGGAAACTTAAGAGAGGCAGTGTGAGCTTTTTGCCTTGGCTCCAACATCAGTGAGGAAGTTGGACGCTCTGGTCGTGGTATGAGCCCAACAGCATGATACACAGCTACTGCTTAAACTGAGACTTAAAGATTGTAGCTTTACTGTCTGTAAAGTGGGAGTAGTGACCACTCTGAAATGGTAAGGCACGAAGCATTACTTGCGAGTGGGGTTTTGTTGGAGAAGGGTGCAAAATCTGGAGATATCAATAGTATGGATTTGTCCATAGCAAAAAGTCTCAAAAAAAAAAAAAAAGGTATTTTTAGCATCTTGTGCAGTGGTTTTGCAGTGACTTCCCTTAGGAGCTCAGGGGCTGTTTCAACACATTTGTAATGCATCCCTTGTTTTTTCAGGTTGCAAAAGATGCGTGACTGCTGGCTTTCCCACTGTGTCACATCCCAGCCTGTACTTTGCTGGGGAGGTCAGTTGCACCTTTTAATAGAGTTGGAGCAGTCTTATAAGGGTGAGTCTGTCCTCTAATATTGTGCGTTCTTTTTAAAGTTTTTTTATGACCTTTAGTATAAGTAGTAAAAGAACTTTAAAACAACACGCAATATTAGGAGTAGGGCCCCTTAAGACACTTATCCATCCAGGCTCTGTTGCTCTTTACCTGTAGATGTGATGTTAAAATCAATACCTGAGGAGTTCTGACTTATCCTTTTTTAAAATCTCAAGCCTGGGGAGGAGCAGTGTGGCATAAACCAGACATCTGAAAGCTGTTTAATCTCCTCGCTTCGTTTAATGCAAAGCTTCCAGAGTTGCTTTTGATTCAGGCTCTGAGTGTGGCATTCTGGCATGCTTCCCATCTTTACAATTTGCTATTACACATTCTTGTCTGGATAAGTGACTAAATGCTTAGTCTAACTTTCACTTTGAGTTTTCAGGGCTTTTGTTTATGTTAGCTTCTGCCAGGGAGAAGAGATGGCACTGACTTATGAGAACCAAATCCCTTGTGAGACTTTAAATAGTAAAGATGCTCCTTAGATTTAGGACCACTGAAACATAAGTAAAACCATACATTTACTTGTATCTTATAAATAGAGAGGAATGATTTTTTTTTTTAATTCTTTCCCATGTGGGAAGAAGACTCTTGCTGTAATTAGGACACTTGGCATCTGATTACAATCTGTGTTTGCAAGTGAGAAAGATAATTTCTGTGACCAGTGCTGATCCCTAACGGGCCTTGTGTGCTGCTGCAGAGAGGGAGGTCTAGGAAGTCTTTTTAATCTCTGGAGTACAAGAGATGCATTTAGATCTCCCTCTGACTGCACTGTTTGTCACAGAGGGTACAAATATTACATTCCACTCCCTGCTTGTGTGTTTGAGTCAAGAGGGGATTGCTGATGGAAGCTTGCTAATGCTTCCCCAGTGCTCCTGCAGGTCTGCGTTATCTGGGACAGGATCCTAGCGTAAAGTCAACGCAGGCTGTGGATGTGAGTATTGTAGACATTCGTTTGATTTGCAGCACGGAAGCTGCTGGTGATCTAAAGATAAAAGCAATGTCGTGAGCCTAAACATCGTGGAGTAATGGGTAAAAGATAGAGACTTACGTTGTGATCCCTGGTCATAGGGAGCCCTGTACACAGCACTAAAAGCAGCATGATGCTTTCTGTGAATGAGACGAAGGTGAGCCCTGCTTTTGGAAGAGACAGTATGTTAGGAGGACTCACAGCAACCTCCCTCGGATGAAGGACCATTTCTGATGGGATGGAGGAAGAGGGTTGTCAGCCTTCTTCATTAGGTCATCTTGCCAGCATGTGAGAGGATGGCACAGGGGAGTCAGATCACAGAAACCTTGTGTTGCTGCTCTCCCTCATTTCCAAACCCTGTTCTTGCCCCCTGGAAAGAGCTCTAGTGTGGTGCTGTGGGAGGAGAGGAGTTGGTATGAACACTTTTCCATCTCAGAAGATGCAGCACTGTGGCAGGAGGCTAACGGATACTACAGGGTGAAACTGCATCAAAGGATTTTGGCAAGGGGAAATTAATAACCAGCTAAAAAGTAGTGTAGTTGGAGAGTGTTACAGGCAGGGGATGGTGTGGGAGTAAGGTGAGCGTGGAGAGTTGGGCTTTGAGATTTTCTGTGCAGTTTTGATGAAGCATGTAATGTGGCTGAGCAGACTGGCTTTGTGTGGTAGTGTTCTGTGCTGGCCAGTGCCAGGTTTAGGGGCAGTTCCTTCACCAGGAGCAGACTGGTAGGACTAGAGGAAAATCTGCATGCTGTTTGCCGGTAGTTCAGCTGCATGGCCTTGGCATGGCTGGAACAAATGATGCAGGTGCTGGATGGCTCTGGGCACGAGTGGCAGATGAGCAGCAGGGACTGTTCTTCAAGTATCCAGTTGTGCCAGGTGGATGGAGAGAGGTAAAGGAGAGAGCTCAGATAGTTATAAGAATATTTGAACAAGGATATAGCCTTGTATCCAGGAAGCTGCTGTTTCCTCTTCCTTTCCTGGCTTGTTCAAGGAAGTGGGAGATTAGGAAATACACTGTAGAGCTGCCGCTGTGCTAGCTGGAGCAGTTGACTTACCTTTATTTAAAGATCTGCTCAAGTTTGAAAAGCAATTCAAATTCAGGCAGTGGCTTGCTTTGGCCACGGTCAAGCACAGAGCAGATCTGCTGTCAGCTCCAGCTCCTTGTGGAGTCTGTAGGTGTTGGGAGAGTCGGGTATGTGCAGAGCTGAGACCAGTGAAAGTGTTGGTAATGAAGGAGGTAATGCAAAAATAAAATCATATCATAGTCAAGGGCTTTGTCTGTATGCAGATTTCTCTTCTGATTGAATGCTTGCACTGTGAGTTGGCTGCTGGAAGCTTCCTTCAGACATAACTTTACAAATGTCTTTTAGGTGCTTGTCACAGTGTGGGAGAAAGAAACATGGCCCAGGCTGAGAGCCCTTCCCAGCGGTGTTGAAACATGCTTTGATGGCATGAAATACTGCAAGTGCACTTGCCTCTTGAATTTTGATTCAGCTAAACATCAAGTCTCTTTGAACTGACTGTCCTTTGTCTCGAGAGCCTGGTACAGTGATTTTTGACAGTCTTCAGAGGAGCATTTTAAAGGACAGTCTAATACAACCTGGTAGTGTCTCCTAAAATACTGCAGTGTGTCACTTCCTCATTAAACTATGGGTGACTTCTGAGCTGTTCACATTTAGGCTGTGAATTTGAGACAGATTTTATAAACACTTTTGTATCCACAACTTAATATCCTCTTGGCATGTGTTGAGACTGCGGAAAGTTAGATCATCTTTCCTGAGCAATGTTTACTGAGAGAGATGTTCCAGATCAACATAAATTTTCAGTGTCTAGTTGCTCCAAGTAGGATTTTTAAAGCCATAAAGAGAATTTTTCCTAGAATTTTTTCCAGATTCTAGAGGAGTTGGTTTAGTGACAGAGCTGGTGCGAGGACAGCAGAGCAGAGTGGGGAGCAGGGCTTTCCCCATCAGGAGTAGTGAGCAGGTCACACAGGGAAAGCTTACACAGAGATGGTGTAAAAACTGTAAAAGCTAGGAGCAGCCTGGAGTAGTAATACCTTGATCCTGCTGTGCCCAGCCCTCTGCGCTTAGCTTGGCAGGACTGTAGGGGCATAGCTTTTTTTAACATCCCAGTTCTGAAGACTGCTGCTTTTAAAAACAAAAACAACGCCAAACTGAGTTTCTGTTTCTCTTGGATGGAGAAGGGAGCTTCCAGAAGTGAACTCCTGCTCTGATGTCTGCTCGGTGCTGGTTAACAAGTGAGATTTCTGCAAACACTGTAAAATCAGCCTGACTATTCTCCAGTCTTAAACACTTCAGTATCAGCAAAAGCCCCATCTTCCCTGTAGCCAAATACTGCACTGCACAGTAGGGCTTTTGTCAGTGGAGCTCATTTTGCTTGAAGGATGTGATTTAGCTACAAGACCTAATGTAGTATTTTTCCCAGAAGAAGCTATATCCCTCTGCGGGGATGTGTGCTCTGAGTTACCTGTAGTGGCAGCCTTTTCCTTCCTAGCGTAGATCTGCCCATGTCTGCAGACAAGTGATCCAGTAATTGTGATAGCCCCTGTTCATACGATTATACTGTTAGTCCTGAAGCCCAACACAAACAGAGTTCTTGCTGTCAGTTTAATTGCTCTATCGCCTAAAGCAACGAGCAATTGGGAGCTTCTGCACAGAGAGGATTTGGAGAGAAAAGAGCTGGAGATCAAAAATCAAAAAAGGAGAGGTGATGGGAAGGGGGAGTTTATCTTTGAACTCTGTTACAAGTGGTTGCTCCCAGGCTGTGTGGTGGCTAAGGCCGTTCTCTGCCCTTGACTTTGGTGCAAATCTCCCTTTTGATACAAGTCCTGTGGAATTTGGTGTTTTACAACAGGAGCTGCACAAACAGTCCCCTCTCCAATAGCTTTGACTAAATCAAGGTTTTATCAGACTCCTTCACCGGCTGAAGTCTTGGCTTATGCAAAGCCTTCAGAAATGGGTTTAGTGGAAGGTGTGCTCCTTGGATAAACATAACTGAACTGCTTTGGTGGAGCTGCCTGTCAGTCCATCTGCCATGCCTGCAGCTCACAGAATGCAGAGTGCTGCAGGCAGGGTTGATGTATGACATTTCCAGGCAGTTTTATCTCTTATCCTTCCCATTGCTGTCCCTCTTGTTTACTTGCAGCCAACAGTTGGAGCAGAGATGGGATTTATTGTCTGGCCAGAGCAATCTACTACTGCTCGTTCCTTGAAGTCGGCAGCTGCTTACTTACTGTCTCTTCTGCTGCTCTTTGAACCCAAGTTTGACAAGCTGAGCTGTTTAGTGTCCTTCTTTCTATCTGGGAGCAAACTTGCCTTTCCAATTTTGTTTCAGCAGCAGAGAAACTGCATTGCTGCTGTACTATCTGAATAGGGGACCACTGGGCTCTGGTTTCTTCTTGCCAGCTACATCCTCGCAGAGCATCACAAACTTTCACTGTGTGTGTTTGCTGCCTCTTAGCACTGGAAGTGCCACCCTCCAAGGGGTCTTTTGCTGAGATGTGTCCAGCTGGATCGTTTTTGAAGCTTTCCCTCCTTCCATGAGATGCAGGGTTGACTAAGGGCAATTGCAGAGTCTTGTTAATGGGCTTTTGTTTTTGTTTTTTTCCAGTAGTGAGGTAGGAACATGCTGTATGCAGTAAAGTCAGGGCACACGTGCCTCCAAAGGGAGCTTGCAAGACTTGCTGTTCAGTTGTGGAGGAACAAGTGTGAGTCATTCAACGTTTCCCCCCACACGTTTCCCCCCACACGCTGATTTGTTTTGTGCATGTGATTCTTGAACTTGTTTTGACTTGGATGCCTTGGCAGCGACTAGGCCAAAGCTTAGTGGTTGCAAATGCCTGACTGTCATTGGAAAAACAATGGGATCCCAATGGGTGGCAATAGGTGCTTGATGAATCCCATCTGCAAAACTCACCTTTCCTGTGCATCCATCCCAGGAGACCCCAGGCTTGCCTTTGCTTGACCAGCTGCCAGCTCCTTTTCGCAGATACTGAAGGTACTGAAGATGCCTTCGTATTGCAGCTGCAAGTTTTTTAACTCTGCAGGCCTGATGAAAGAAGCTGAATTAGAGATTTGAGTGGCTTGTGTGCTCTGGACTGCACAGTCCCTGGGTGATGCTGCAGTCGGTACCTGAGCCGGGCTGGTTACAACCACACGTGTATGATTCTTGTCACAGGAGTTCACTCACCAGCCCCACCATGGCAAAATGTGCAGCCAGACACACGATCAGGGACATGCGTGTGCCAAATATGTGCTTTGTAGCCAGCTAAGCAAATATATCACGTTGCATTCGAGTATCTGTTATCACAGCTGTCCCGGGCATGCTTTCCAGGCCAGCTTCCAGCTGAGACCTCCAGCTTGTGGGCTCATAGCTGAGTCCAGCAGTTGCAGGTGGGCCAGCAGCATGTCAATGTTGGGCTGTCTCACTCATTGACTTCTGAACAAAACAATTCTATGTGGCAATTGAAGTCCTGTGGGCAAGGAGATGGAGATAGACTGACTGCTGAAAGAGGTAGACTGGGGGAAAGCCAGCAACAGATGTGGGCCCTTTACTTAGGGTTAGTCCCGATTTGTGTAATTTTGGCATTTGTCCAGGTAGATACAGTATATGTGTAGACAGGAAACTACTGCTGTAATCAACACATTGAATAGAGGTATTTTGTAGGCATAAACTGTTTCCTAATCCAGTGTGTGTATTCGGCCACCAAGCAAACCCTAGGAGAGAGGAGGGACTTGCCCTGTGCTCGAGCCAGCTGAGTTGCAGCAACACACCTATGCCAAGCGGCTCGCTGGTGTGGGGTCTCTCAGCTGAGGCTCATGGTTAAAGCAGATGTGCCTCTAAATACTTACTAATGGATTGTCAGTACAGTTAAATACAGAAGTGTCACCTGAGGGAGTAGTCTGCCTTTTGGAGCCTTTTGAAATGCTTTTCAAAATTAATCTTTCTTATATAAGAAAGAAATTGGGGGAAAAAAAAGAGGGGGCGACTGTAATCATTGTTGTGATGAACGTTGTAGGTTTGACATTTGAGAAGAGGAAGGAATAATTTGTAAAAATCAGAAAACTTTTTTTTTAAGTTAAAATGTCTTCAATCAGCTAAGTTACTGCAGAAAGGAGGGTTGGGGGGAAGATGTGGGAGTCAAAAAAGTGACTCAGTTGCCATTAATCACGTCTGAGTAGGTCATTAATGTTTCGTTCTGCAACAGATCTGCCTAAGGTGGCATTGCAAAGGCTAGCAACATGCCCTTTGCCATCAGGAGACGCAGCCTCTGGACAGTGTACAAGGACTGGCTCTGAGTACAGCGTCTATCTGCTGCAGAGCAGGATGCCCCAGGGCCCTCGGAGGGAAGGAGACCCCCCAGGGAAGGGGAGGATGTGTAGTTCTGCAGCCTGGCTGGCTCACTCGGCTCCGTGTTAGGCAATGCTGTGTTTTGTTGGTGTGTAACATTTAGTCCAGTTTCTGTGTTGGATTGCAAATGGCTGGGTTCCTCCATTTTTAATTTTCTTTTTTCTCTCCAGGCGTCTCGGTGCTGAGCTGGGGAAATCTGTGGTGTACCAGGAAACCAATGGAGGTAAGAGAAATCTTTACTATTTGCAACTGTTTGGAGGTAATCTTAGAAATACTGGGTAACTCCATTGGCCAAACCTGTCTAATAAGTGCAGTGATTCAACTGGGATGTTACTGCTGCTCCTGCAGTACTAAACATCCATGTCTGACCTTGGACAAAGCAATTAAATGTGTTCCTTGGTTTCCCCTGTTACCTTGTTTGTCTGCCTGTTGGCTAACTCTCATCTAGAAGCAGAGTCCTGCCTCAGGTGTTAGCTGCTACAAAATCTTACACACTCTTGTGCTTAGCAAAACATCTCCATTATATTTTAAATCCATTAGTTTAAAAGTGATGGCCTGCTTTCTAAGTGTCTGTCTTGCAAACTTTTAAATTATTCCATTCTTCCAGGCCTCCCCTGCCACAGGCAGTTTACAGCTGCCCTAGCAAGGACCTCTCCTCTTGCTTTAAAGAGTGCAAATTCAGAGCTGTGCTGGGGAGCGTGCCTCTTGGAGCTTGCTTTCATCTCCCTATATGTAGCAAGTGTCTGTTTTTAGATGCTGGGATAAAACAAAAGGATACTGGCTAACAGAATTCAGTGGCTAAGAGTCATTTACTGTTTCAAAACCTCAGTTACCTTATTTGCAAGAGAGACTAGAACCAGCGAGCTAATACAGGTGAGAGGAAGGGTTGGAAGTGGCGCTGGTTTGGCGTGAGGGTTTTTGACAGCACTGCTGCTTTTAGAGCCAGAGCAGGCCACGCGGTGCGTAAGCTGCCATGGTTATGTTTGGATTGGCTCTTGCATTCGTGCTAGTGAAAGTTCGCTGCCCTTTGGGGTTAGTTTTAAATCGGGTCGCTTGCTACAAGGTCTGAAGTCGTTCCTCATCACTGCACAGCAAATCAGTCTGCTTTCAGCCGAGTCCCTTGAGATTGCTGCCAGTGCCCAGGCAATTAGACTTTGAATTTGGTGGCTGGGTAGATATTTCTCTCCTTTTGCTTGTCCTTGCCCTCTAGTTCATGACTATGTGGGAAATGAGTGGCTAAGACAGGCACCTTGGGAAACCTGGTGTCTTTGGTTTGGCTTTGCAGTGCTGCTTCAGGGCTCGGCTGTTGCGTTTGAGTCTGGGACTGTAGGAATTGTGTTCAGCAGAGAGCTGGGTTTCCAGCTTCGGTCTTGACCTTGATAGTGAAACTGGGGAGTTCTCCCTCTGAACCCTGTGCTGCTGGTGTTGCCTTGGGCTATCCAGCCTGTATGGAGGTGCCCCCATGGTACGCTGCAAAAGAGCAGCTTCTTGGCAAGTACTAAACGTTCTGGTTTGGGTGGTTCATTGTTCGCTAATGAATGTGGTATTGACAGCACTCAAAGCGCTCAGCATGGAGATGTGAAAAGGATCTCTCATTGAGAATTAGGTGATAGTCTTCTACATGTAAGAAAACAGCTATTGAACCTGGTTTTGCATTGTGAATAGAAATAACTCACTGATATGTCGTGCCAGGTCTTTACTTCTCTGGGGGAGCCTTTGGAAAATCCACTGGGCTCATCTGCATGTGTGTGTGTAGAGGGGATATGTGCACGCAGGGAGAAGGAGCAAGTCCTCTCCTGCCCTGATCAGTGGGCAGTTGCTGCTAAGACATAGTGTGTTATCACTGTAAACCTGATGTCTGGAAACAAAACTGACTGTGTTTTCAATCCTCTCCAGAAACAAGAGTTGAAATAAAAGAATCTGTCCGGGGACAGGATATCTTCATTATACAGACAATCCCCAGGTAAGGGGCTCGTGGCTCAGTTTTACAGATGTGATATGCTTTGGATTTCTGGTTCAGCAGATTGTTCGATGGTTTTGTGCGCCATTAGCCAGCATGATAACCGGTCTCTTTCCAGTGTTGTTATTGCTTTGCCTTAAATTTAAGACACCACATAGTGTTAAGCTGTTAAAATTCCCAGAGGATTGCTTGTGCCACAGCAAACTGAGAAGCTTCCCATCAAATAGCTTAAGTGTGTCACTTGAGGCAAGAACAAGTATGACTGATGGCTTCAAGCGAAACCTCCCTGGTCTGTGTGCTGATGTCCTTGCAGGCTCAGTTGCTTGGTGATTTCCGACTGGCATTTCCATTTCAGGATGTGTCATTTCCTCTGCCTTCCAATTACCAAGCAGCAGAGCCAGCAACAAACAGCAACTATTGCTTTCATTCCAGGCTGGATTACTTTTCCACTTTCCCTGTAGTGATGTGGAACTGAACTCGAGTGGAAGTCCATAGCTTCCTTCCTGTAGTCTTCTTAATGACGTTGGACCTTTTCTTAAGTGGGCCTGTTTGCTAATTATTTTGGGCTGTTGTAGCCTTGGGGTAAGAGGAAAAAAAAATAATGCTGCAAATTAACCAGGGGGCTAGAAAACCAGCTACTAATCCCAGGAGCCTTGCTCCTCACTGCCTGGGGAAGAGTGTAGCGAGATCACACTAGGATGGTGGGAAGGGACCCTGCATACGAATGACAACTGCAAAATGACCAACTATGAGTAGAGGAGATGCTGTTTTCAGAGATGAAGTGTTGATAAGATGCCTTTTGCACACTTGGCAGAACAAGGATATTCCTGCTCTGATAGCTTTCTCCAAGTTAGCAAATTCTGCTCAGATTTTGGCAATCGCAAGAACTAGTAAGCACCAGAGCTCCAGCAGGTAGCAGAATACCCTGGAAGCAGAAATTTTCCTTGCTTGCTGAAGAAAGAGACCCCAGTGAGAACTCAAGTTTGTTTCCTCTTTGTAATGCTTGCCCTGTTGTTACAGAAATCAGTAGGACTACAAGATGAGCTTGCTTACCTCTGGAGTTCATCTTGCAGGCTGAGACATTTTCCTAGAGTTCATATCTCTCCAGAGAGATACTGCAAGTGTTTCTTCCCTTGGGGAGCATATCTCCGCAAGATGAAAATCCACTGGTGCAGGATTATGTTTCGGGTGAATAGTGCCATTCTGTTGTCCCTCATGAGAGCGTTCTCTGAAATAACTTGTAACTGAAAACTGTGTAAACATGAAGCAGATAAGGTGTTCAGAGAGAGATAACTCATAGCATGAGGGAGAGCAATAGTTTTGGGAGGGGAAAACCTCCCCTGCTTTTAACTTGTTGATCCCCTTGTTTTTCCATAAATGAAATTCAATATTGTGGGCTAAAAAATGGGTCCTTTCTATCCAAAATGCTCAAGGCCTTCCAGGTGAGGAGCCACTATTGTGCAGCCAAGTCATCTTTTATTCTTAAGCTGCAGCTGTGCCTTGCATTGCTTGAGAGGACAGGCTCAAGAGCATCTCAATATTGCAGTGGGTTTCAGGGAGCTTTTGAGGAGAGTAAAAACAACCACCATGTTGAATAATCTGAGAATAGGACTTCCATGCTCAGTAGTGGTTCAAAAAGCAAAGAAAGTATTCGGGTTTAGTAGGAAGGGAGCAGAGAGGGAAACAACCTCATTATGCTACAGCATGAATTCACAGTCTGCATCTTAAATGCACAGAGAGAGAGCAGAAAGACCTCAACATTTGACAGAAGCTCCCTGTCCAAAAAGCATATAGCAGGACTAAAAAAGTCACAAAGACAGATACCGTCCAAGGCTGTTTGTGTGTGGACTAGCATTTGTATGAGGGAACACCAAATAGCTCGTGTTTAGACTGTAGAAAAACGAAGGAGTTGGTGGTTTAGTGATACACTAAAAGCAAAAGGAGTCTTTTAGTGCTGAGTGTTGGTGCTGGTTGTTGCAAAGTCAATTGGCAACTTCACACAAGCCATTTGCTCAGCCCCGAGAATGGGGATCTCCGGGGATGGCTTAGGCAGGGATGGGGAACAGCGAGGGAGGCTCCAGGCTACTGGAGAGGGATGGTAAGTAGGATGTGGGGGATAGCTGAGCTGGCTCTAAATGTCCTGGTAATGAACTGACAGTCCCTGTGTGTGGTCTTGGCTCAGGCTTTCCAGCAGTAACTGTGAGCACTGCTTCAAGGCAGGCGGCGGGGAGGGCAGCAAGGAGACTGGGATGCTCCCTTGGCTACCTGTTTTGGAGATGCTGTGGCTGGGTTTCCACCATGGATGTTATTTCCCCCAATTAGTCCGCACTCCGAGCCAGGCCCTTGGTTGGCATCAGTGCCCCTTGCAGAGGAGCGGATCAGTGTGACGGCTGGCTCAGCACGAAGCATCCAGGAGGGTGCTGCTTGCCTTGACGAGCCTGCCAGCCCTGGGTCCTGCTGGAGGGACAGGTGTGTCTGCATCTGCCTAAGTGCCTGTGCTGGCTGGTCTTCAAGAGCATCCCAGAGTCCAGCAGGGGATCCTGCTTGAATATTGAGAGGTGCTCCTCCTCGAGTAATTTCTCCACCGATATGGCTACCAGTGTCCCACAGCAGCACCAGGGCTGCTGTTGCCTTTTGAAATCAGTGGTAACCCTTTCTCCCAGGAGCAGTCTTGTTCTCTCTCTATTTTCCGTGTGAATATACATATATATTTTTTTAAAAATAATTTGAAAAATAATGATGGAAAATATTATATTTCTGTGATGAACTTTAAATAGGCTTAAACTTGGCCACTTTGTTTTTATACAACACTGATAGTAGCATCTTCTTCTCCTCTCATGGCTCCACTGGCACAGCTAAAACACCAAAGGGAAGAAAAGGTTCTTTCTTTGCTTGTTGTCTTACGTGGCAGGGGGCTATGTTTTATGTAATTCTTGGCTGGGTGCTTCAGAGCTAACAAAGCTTTCTTGTGTGTAAACGGCATTGTGTGCAAGGGCTGGCGGGGCCAGTGGGGCACAGAGACCCAGAGCACTCACAAATGAAGAGGCACAAATGGAGGTTAGTTTCTGAAGGAAGGGGGAGCGATGGAGAAATGGAAATGGTTGGAGGTTTGTCACGGTTCATGCAGATGGAGTCTCAGAAAATGGTAGCTCTGAGCTCTTGGGGAAGCCATCCCTGGTGGTCAAGAGGAAAAGGGGTCCTAGAGCAATGTCCAAAATAATAATAATAGTAATATCCAAAAAGTTCTGCAGAGCTTTAAGCCACTTTGTGGTGCTTATTCCTCTGCTGCTGTGTGGAAAGATGCCCCAGTCAGCCCGTGCTCTGTCGCCTTGGGCTCCACGGCTGAGCCACCACCAGCATTGCCCTCCTGGGGAGCAGCCTGAGGAAGTGGTATGTCATTTGAGGCTGTCCGTGCTGAAACTCGCCAAGCAAGGGTGTCTGCACTGCAGGAGGATTGCCTGTCCCACTGTCGTCTTCGAAGTGCATGTTCTTCAGTTCCCAAATGGTCTCAAGTCAGTTTGTGACAATGCAGACAGTGTCTCTTGGTGTTGGTTTTAAGGAACTAAAAGGGCTTGGCTTTTTTTTTTCCCTTCCCAAAATGAATTAAAATGCAGATTAACACACTCCCGCTGGGCAACGCCAGTCATCGTGGTGAAGCTAAATGAAAATGGGGTTTTACATGTATTCCTTGCTGGGGTCTATGGATAGGTTCTGCCTATGTTGCTTTTTTTTTTAATTTCAAGAAACAGTTGTTTAGCTTTTACTGTGGTGCTGTTCCTTCCATCTCTAGGTAAGCTAGATAGCATGGAGATGCTGACCTCCACCAAAGTGATGCGTCTGGACTTTGTACTGCTCCAAAATGCAGTGTTTCTTAATGCAGGAGAAAAAACTTGCCTTACATTGTTAAAAATATCCTAATAAATCCATTGTGGATGAAGTTGCGTCAGCTGCTTCTTCAAAAGACTTTTATTTCAAAATACACTTTATGAAGTGATGTTTGTTCCAGCGTAAATGAAGAAATGCCTTTGTTGTTGTGATGATGGAGGGAAATTGTCATACACCTCATGTTAGAATACAAAATCAAATTCCAGTCCACAGCTCTTGAGTGCTGGAGTCACGTCCTGTACATACAACAGTTGATTGTAATGTGCTGTGGCATGATGGAAGGAGCTATATGATTACAGTCTGGGTCTTGCATACGTTAGCATAAGATATAGCATTATTTCCTTGGAAATTCGGTGAGGAGAGGTATGGGTATAAAAGGAAAAGGAGTTGCATTGGAAAAACACCTACTAATACTTGGGATGGTTTTCAAATTTCCTAGAGATGTGAATACTGCTGTCATGGAGCTGCTGATAATGGCGTATGCACTGAAGACTTCCTGTGCCAGGAACATCATTGGGGTCATCCCTTACTTCCCGTACAGCAAACAGAGCAAAATGAGGAAGAGGGGCTCTATAGTCTGCAAGTTGCTGGCTTCAATGCTCGCCAAGGCAGGTGAGTGTCGCAGGGAGCAGCAGCTTAGCAGGCTTGGACGCTGCGCTGTGTCCAGCTGCTGGGCGTCCCAGAGGGTGTCTGTCGTCCTGTTCTTCTCCCGTTCGATGTGGAGACATGCTGCCGAGCCCCTGAGCCTTGTTGGGGGAATTAATTTTGTTCAGTTTAATTTTATTTCTTTGTAACTTGCACCTGAGGGAGTGGCCTAGAAGTGTCATATTGAAATACAGTGTCAGCCTAGCGCTGTGGCTCACCGTGTGCCTGTTTCTCATTATGTCTTTGGAACTTTTTACGTTAACCTGTTCATGTTGTTTTATCACATGGCATAATAGTCTGAGTAATAGCTAAAATAGTCTGGAAAATTGAGGTATTCAAGGAACTCCAGCCATGTGTGAGTCATATCAATGAATTGTTATCTTTTTTTTTTCCTTAGGTTTAACACACATTATCACTATGGATCTTCATCAAAAGGAAATTCAAGGCTTCTTCAGCTTCCCAGTAGACAATCTGAGAGCATCGCCTTTCCTGCTTCAGTATATACAGGAAGAAGTGAGGTTACTCTAGTTCTAAATACATATTAACTTGTCTTAACTTGCCTTAGTGTGGTAGCAGCATTGGGCCTCCACTTACGCAGAGGTTGTGTTGTCAGGCAACGTCAATCGTTCTGTTAACGAATTCTTAGGGGGTACCTATTGCATGTTTCTTAGGAAAGCAGCAAAATATTATATTGTATGACTTTACCTGGGTAGAAATTGAGCTCTTGAACATAAGCAGAAGATGACCTTGCTCTCTGTAGAGTTAGTGCCATTTGAGAGATGCTATTTATGCTCCTGCCTCTAATCACCTTTTAAATCCTGTTAAACTGTCTCCCCTTGCCCTTTGTGCTGTGGTGGACGTCTGACTGCTCTGAATTGTTGATAGACTCTCTCTTGGGCTGAGTGTAGGAACGCAGAGCACAGCAAGGCTGGGGGCAGGGCGTGGAGGTTTTCTTTTCCATGTGCAAAAGATGACGATTTATGCCCGTGTGGTGAGAGCAAGGCTTCCCCATCCAGGGAGAGCAGACCCTGGGTTCAGACCTTCCCCTGCAGACAGAATTAGCTGCAGCCAGTCCGTGTAGCGTAGGTTAAACTCAGTGAATGTTCCCACCTTTGCCTGTTCTGAATGCAAGGCCAATGCCTGCCCTGCGTGGGCACTGGGGCTCTGCGTGCTGCTGAGAGCCAAGGTGTGATACCCCGACCCCAGGGCCCATCACTACACCTTCCCCTTCCGCCCCTGCCCTGTGTTGCCGACAACTGTGCTCGGCGCTGCGGCCAGGCCGTAACTGCTGGGCACCAGCAGGGAAGGAGGCACGGAGCTGCAGTCATGTGCCGAGTAGGACGTGCAGTATTGCCTGTGCTAAACTTGTTTGTGTTGCATTTGGGGCAGAATGCACGAATACTGGTGTTGGAAACAAGTGCTGTTGCCTGTCTAGTTTCTTGCACAGAATAAAGATTTGGGCCTGGGGAAGGGGAGTGGGCACGATTATTCATCTATGTATCAAATCAGTTACTCGCTAGCAAGAAGGTCTTTACTTAAATAACTTTTTATCACATCCAGATTCCAGATTACAGAAACGCAGTTATTGTAGCCAAATCTCCTGATGCAGCTAAAAGGTAAATGGATTCTTCACTAGCTGTTTGAAAATAACTTGGAAAAGATCTGGGCTGATGGGAGATACACCAGAAAAAATATGGGAGGGTTGCAAATTGGCAATCTGGTCTGTGTGTCCTTTGTGGCTGCAGACGGGATGGGCGTCTGCAGTGGTGCGGATGGGCAGCTGAATTTTGCAGTCCCAACCCTGCGGGAGTAAACTCTGGAGTTCCCAGCTGCTGCAGAGCTAGGTGGTGGTTCACCTGGGGCCAGGATCAAACTTGCTGTGTAAGTTTCAGCAGTGCCTGACCTTCTCAGAAAGTGTTAAGCATAGAGAGGAACACCAGGATACCCCTGTGTTGGAGCCAAGGAGTAGTGTAGGGTCTGGGATATTAAGGAGGCATCAAAAGTTGTTTCCAGTGAAGTTTCTTGCTGGGGAACAGCCACAGAGGTGCAGCCTTTGCTTGCCCCGTTGGGTCTGGGAGAGGCCTGCTTCACCAGGCTGTGAAATTGCATCATCCTGGCATCTTCCTGACATGCTGTGGTTGTCCTGCAGGGCTCAGTCTTACGCTGAGAGACTACGACTGGGACTAGCAGTGATCCACGGAGAGGCTCAGTGTACAGAGCAGGACATGGATGACGGACGTCACTCCCCTCCAATGGTCAAAAATGCAACTGTCCATCCTGGTCTGGAGCTACCGTGTAAGACTAAGCTTCTTTGCTTACCTTTGGGCAAAAAAAGAGAAGTTTGGTGGGAAATAGCTGCTGGTTTAGCTGTGTAGGTATAACCAACCTAATGGCAGTTGGATCAATGGAATTTTTGCTGTGGAAGGGTTGATATCAGTGAGTTGTAAGAGAAAGTGGAGGGGAAAGTTTTTGTTTAAATCTTTCTGTCCATACAGAGCATCAGTGTTGCTCCCCGTGGCTGTGCCCACTCAGAAGTGTCAGACTGACAAACCTCTGCTAGAGGTGGTGCTTTTAAAGAGCTCTGCAGCAAAACTCATTGAGCTAATGAAATGGAAAATAAACGCAAAAGTGCAGCTAGCCCAGGAATAGCCACTGAGACAGGCTGCTGTCCCCAACATGGAGGGGAGAGCTGGCCTTTGTCTTCCCCTCCTACTGCAGCCATTGTTACTGCTGGAAATTTTCATCTTGGGAGCCAGGTGATCATGTTACAGTGTCTGTTTTGACAAGGTTGTGAGGGTTGTGTGGCTAGGATGAATAGGCTTTCCGGGAGCATTGCTGAGCTTCTTTACATGCTCTTGCCGTCAATTGATAAGTTGCTGATTTGGGAGCATGGACCAAAATAAAAATGAGGAAGCATATCTTTTGGGAAATGCCATCCTCTTAGGATTGCTTGTATTCTTGCTTGTATTCCTTCAACAGCAGCAGTCAAGCAACAACTGTATAATCAAAATCCAGCTTCCTTTTGGGAGGACTTTAGTTTCCTAGGTAGATGGTGGTAGAACAGAAATTACGAGTGCAGGGAATGTGGCTGAGAAGTGACCGTGGGAAAGGATGCATGCTGCTGTATGTGATAAGGAGCTACCCATCATGCAGCCAAACTTAATTATACTGGCAGTGGCTAGGACTACTGATAAGCGTCTCCTCTTGTCTTTTGAAGTTTAGGGAGAACATCCAACCAGTTTGTGGGCAAGTAAGGCTGCAGGCATTTTACATTACCCCAGTCATTGCTCACTATAATACAAGCAGTTAAACAATGCTTATGTTGCTGGTGAAACTCCTCTTGGGCCTTGGGGGACAGGTGGGGTTTGGCAACGAAGCTTGGGACTTCATCTTGATTGTCCCCCTTCTAACAAGGGTATTTTTTCATGTGCTTCCAACAAAACAGGAATTTGCATGGTTACTCTTGGCCTTTTCCTTCCCCTCCTACTCCGAAGAAGATGCTGTCCTCCAAAATATCACCAGCTGACATTTATCTGCTACCAGGGCATTGATGTGACTTTATTTCCAACCGTGTCACTTCAAGGAAGCTCAACTGTAGGAGCTTGTGCTGCTGGAGAGCCCCATAAATGGTAGCACAGAAATGTGCCTTTGTCCAATTTAATTATGATTCCAGTGGAAAAGTGTTTTCAGTCCCCAGCTATCAAAACATGAACTAATTTGCTGTGTATCACCACTTTCTTACTTTATCTCCTGCAGAAACTCAGCACTTGACTAATGACCCTACATTCCTGCATGCCTAAGGCACAAATGTAAAACAATCAAGCTGTAGCTTGGTAGCTGTCTGTCAGGGGTGAGATGTGGGGGTGTATTATGGGGTGAGCTTGTCCAGAACTCTCAGTGGAAAGTTGCTTTTCTTTCCAGTTTTCTAATCTTAATAGATATCTGGTTTTGAGTGAGCTGGGCTCTGTTACGGGAGGTGCAGAATACTGAGCTAGTATCTGTCTAAAAGCAGTCTTAAGCTTCTAGTGCATCCTGGTTGTGTTGCAAAATGCAGCTAGGGTTAGGGATGGCAATGCTGTGAGTGTCTGTACTTACCCTCTCTGCTATGCCTTCTTTCTTGTCTGATGCAGTCATTTGAAAAGTGTCTTCCCACTTCAAGTGGCACATCAAAGAAAACCCTTGGTCAGCTCTTCCTGCCGTGCGTACCATCACCAGCAATCCTGGTGTGTGAGGTCTGATGGCAGTGTGGAGCAGGGTTCATCTATGTCCCTGTGGTGGTGTTTGTGAAAGGTAGGCCACGTGCCGCTCACCCAGAGCTGTATGCTTCCTTACACCAAAACTGGCCAGAAAAACCTCTGGTTGTTGAAACAGAACCGGGCTCCAGGTCTGCCTGGCTCAGATACTACAAACCTGGGCCTGAGCAGTTAGCAGGCAGGGGTACTCCTAGGGGTGGCAGAGACTAACCACGAAGGATCCTGCTTCTACAACCAGATCGGTGTGGAGCATCCTATCCTTCTCTCAGCTTTGCATTTTAGAGTCCCCAGCAGTTGTGTTACAGCCAGAAGAGAGGCGAAACTCATGACTGGGAGCAGCCCCAGAGCCCTGCAGAGATGACTTACAGTTTATACAATTCTTCATGGGCCTCCTAGTGAATTGGCTGGGCTCCTGCATCCTGGCATGCACCTTTTCTCCCTATTCTAGTAGAGATCATGCTCTTTTAATTAATGAGTGTTAAGCAGCGTAATGGCGTATTTATTGTCCTGAGAGTGTGGCCTGATGCAATACTCTGATTTGGCAGCATATGGAACCATAACAGAAAAATGCCAAAGGTGTTTCCAACTGCACTTCGTAAAGTGCTGCGCTAAAGCGGCAGCAACAGCTCACATCACTCAAAACCCAGAAATCGGAGCCTTTGAGACAGGATGTCACTCGGAGGTTGTTCTCTTTGATTGTGTGCTCTTTGTGTCTCAAAGCTTGCAGCTGGCTTGGGGCTGTGCTTTGACAAATGCATGTGGACTCTTTGCACATTTCCTTGTCCTTGAGAAAAGGAGTGGAGCACCATCTGTTAAATCACTTCAGTGACTTTGAAATTCAGTACTTTATACAGATAGCTAATGGTCTGCCTCAAACCCAGAGCCCAGCAAACTGCCATGAAGGGAGTTTGAGTGAAAAACTGTAGTGACCGTAGGTCTGTTCCTGTTTCCCTACCCCATCTTTTTCCTGTGTTTAGGCTGGGCACAGGAATGTCATCTGTTCTTCCAGGTCTATCTCTTCACAAAACAGTTCGTTCTTGAGCAGTCTTTTACTCATAGACTCTGTTGTAAATACAGCATTATTTTACTTGGTGATTATCACTTTAATGCACACTGTTGGCTCCAAACAGAATTTGTTCTAGCATTCCTTACCCCATTTTTGACCGCTTGATTAAAACAACAGACTTATGCACCTGGGAATGCTGTTCCTTCATGCCAGTGATCATCTCGCTGTTAACGCGTGGTGCTTTGGTGTATATTACTCCCATCAGAATGAAAGTGCAGGTTAGAGTGTTTGGCTGATGAAGTTATTTCCCCACCACCCCTCAGTGTTCCTTGATATTCTTGTTTTATAAAAATGGTGGTTGGTTTGGTTTTTTCCTCTTTATTTTTCCCCCCAGAAGCTACAGATACCACAAGCATCTTTTCTTACTCTCCAGGAAAAAAAAACAGCAACTCTTTTAATGTAAACTCATACATAATCCAAGGGGTTATGCCAGGCAGAAGTACAGCTGTGGCTTACTTCTGTTGCCCTCTTTTGTCTACATACAAATAGAGGTTTCGTGTCTGGGAGGAAAATGCTCTTTATTATTTGAATAATTTTTCAAGTCACCTTCTCCTGGCAGTTCTGACTTGCACCTCTTGATATGTCCAGAGATTTTGAAGAAAGAGAAACTGGCTACAATAACCCTTGCATAAGCTTTCATCACGTTGGGAGCAAAGTTCTCTTGCGATTTGATGTGGTTGTGGGTAGATCTTTGGCTTGCAATTTTTTTCTTTTCTTTGCAGAGAAAATTGAACAAGAAAAAGGGAGAACATCTCTTTAGGATCCGGGTAGGTCGACATGTTGCCTACCGTACTTTAAAAATAAAGTAAAATTGAAATGCAGCATTTAAAAACAGACAAGAGATGCGAAGCACTGCTGATGTTGCTAGCTGCTCTGTTAGCCTTTGAGCATAGCAAGGAACATGTCTGCTTCCTTTATGGAACGGGAGGATACCAATTTGCTGAAACTTCCAGTGTTTGTCAGTGAAGTAGTACTGAATTTCAGCTCCCTAAGGTCTGTTCACCATTGCTTAGAAAAGAAGTTTCCCTAGCTTGGCTGTTCTAAACTGAAATGGTACTCATCTGTGGATGCACACTAAGGATGGGATGGCAGCCAGATCTAATCCTTTTGGTATTTCACAGCTCCCACCAGGAGTTTTGTTACTGTCCAAACTAGGTAATAAACTAATAACTAATCTAAGCAGGTAGGTAGTGCCTGTAATTGAACCTTATGGTCTGCTTATCTCTTGTGACGCTTAATCTTCGTTCATTACAAGTACTCCTCCTTCTCATAAGAATATATTCCCTTCAGGATTTAGACGTGACTTTCCATTTGATAGGAGACTCAGAAAGAACAATGCAATGGAGGCTGGGGAGTCTGTGCTCCAAACAGCAATTAACTCTGAAGTCCAAGGTAGCTGTGACTTTAACTGCAAAACCTAGCAATGAGTAATGTAACTTTGGTCAAAACAGAACTATTGAACGCCTTTTATACAATTTGGTTTTCTGTGAGCTTATCAAGTCTGCGAGGTAGGTCATGTATATGAAGAACAGCACTATACGTGAATCTTTGGAGCTGTGGTCCTTATAATTGCTTTCATCGCATCCCTCAGCTTGACTCACTCGCCCAGCTGTGCTTGCACTCAAAACATTCCCAGGCAACTGATGAGTTGTGGGAATAGTACTGGATCAGCCTGCTGTGCAGGATGGGGAGTTTCATGTAGGACTTTTTGACCCAGGAGGGCAGAAATCAATGTTCAGACAGGCTTTTTAATGGGAAATAGCTTGTGTTCTCATGCTGCTCAAGTATTGTATGGAAGTAGGTTATCTTAAAGGAGAAAAAGCCCTGAGCTTACGAAGGGGAGAGGTACAAAGTGCCTCAATAGGACACTTCTGCATTCCCCGTAGAGAGCGTAAAATCTGGGGGGAGTGCAGGTGGGCCAGGTAAGTGTTACAAAATGCTGGATGTTGCTCTTTGCTTCAGTGGTTAGATCAGCTCAGATTATCACCTAATGGCACATGCATGCCCACCACCGTGTCCTTTCCATGCTGGGAGTTTTTGTACTGTGTTTGCTGTATGAACCAGCACCTTCCGACAAGTGAGAGGTTTGGCTTATGGACAGCAAGTCCCTGGCCAGTATCAGAGGCTGATTGCTATTTGGTGCAAGTCTGAAGACTGTGTTACATCTGGACACAGTCAGTGCATCCTAGTTCATAACTCTGTTAACTTTTATAGTGCTGCTGGAAGTTTTTCAGTATAAAGGATAAAGCCTGTTACGTGGGTAGTTTTCGCATGAGCTATGTCAGGGCAAAAGTAGAACCAGGAGGGAGTTGAACCTTATTTCCTGGTTCATCTCTTCACCATGTGTCAGATAGCACAGCTCATCAGTGTATACTTTTGCATCCAATTGGTGGTTGCACTGAGCTTGTGGAACTGAGTCTGAACTGGGTTTTGCTCTGCTCTTTCCGTTAATATGCTTTGAAAACAATTTAGCAAACTTTGCTTCTGCAAACTTTCTTAAGCTTTCTTTGCCTGAGCAGGTGGTATTAAGGTCCTTAGGCCCTTGTGTGTTCACTGAGAGACATATGAGAGAAAACAAGCAAGTTGCAGTACGCGTCTCAAGTCCTTCAGATGAATTAATGAGTCTAACAGGTGAAAAATTGCACTTTGTAAAGCATATGCCCTTTGAGAGCTGTTGGTCAGAGAAGCCCATTTTTTGTTCCTGATCATGAGATACCCCTTTTTTTTTTTTCAAGTCCTGTTCTATAGCACAAAGTAAGTCACTAACATGTCCCCTAAAAATCATGTGCTGCTTTGTAGCTCTCCTTGCACAGGGGGCTGTTAGATATTTGGATTTGCTTACTGTCTCTGAGGTCAATGCAAGGTCCCCACAGAAACTGAGAGTTTCATCTTTAGGCAGCAGTGCTATTCATTTAAGGAGGAAAATTATGGTTAAACCAGTGGTTACCCACTTAGGTGGTTTGTCAGGATAATGTAAAGCATGTATCTGTGCACCAATGTAGGACGCAGTTAAGGGCTGGGCCTCTTGTGTGGCGGAGCTGTTGTGGTTTGACTCAAGGCTAACTGACCTGGGCTTTTTTTTTCATATTCTTTAGTGATGATGGCCAAGGAGAAACCGCCAATAACTGTGGTTGGAGATGTTGGAGGAAGAATTGCCATCATTGTGGTATGAGTCTGGGGCTTCCTCCCAGAGGGTAGGAGGGACTGCTGGTGTAGGGGTGGGAATGTGATGTTTACCACCGTTTTCTCCAGTTTGCTGGTGGCTTTTGTTATTTCAGCTTTCTGTTGAAAACCCTTCATACTTCAGCACTTTAAGCCTTAAAATCTCCTTGTTCCCTTCAATGTGCAAATGTCAGATGTCTACAAATAGTCAACAAATCCAGGATATGCAGAGAAATGTCCTGAAGTGTTAAAAAAAAAACAAACAAAAAAACCCAAAAACAAACAAACAAAAAAAAAAACCCAAAAACACAAAAAAAGACCAACCAACCAAAAAAACTTGCTGAGCTTCGCATACTTGCTGTGCCGTGCTGCAGTGTAAGTAATCAACATGCAGCTACTATCACCATGAAATAAAACCACGTGGCTGTAGATGAGCTCTGTTTGTGTGTGTGTGCACATGCAGGGACTAATTTGTTTCCAAGACACAATATTTGTTTTGCGCACTAGCAAAAGGGTCTGTAAATTAGGGAGATGGCATTCACAGATTTAAGACCTGCATGTGTCTGTCCTTGCATCTCAACAGCAGCTGCAGTAGCCAGGGATTACTTTTTTTCAGCTGTGTGCATGGCCAAAGCCGTAGTACCTTGCAGATCCGCTCCTGCCCTGCAGGCACCGTAAACTTCTGGTTTTGATGCTATTTCTGTTTCTTCTCAGGATGACATCATCGATGATGTGGAAAGCTTTGTAGCTGCTGCAGAGATCCTGAAAGAGCGCGGAGCCTACAAGATTTTTGTGATGGCTACTCATGGGCTCCTGTCAGCAGATGCCCCCCGTCTCATAGAAGAGTCCTCCATCGATGAGGTGCGTCTGCTTTCTGGACTGTGGAGGAAGGGCTGGTGCTGGTGGCCAGGTTGATTTAAACCAGAAACTGAGGTTCTGCCCTTGCTGCATAGCTCATCTCTGAAATGAGTGGTTTCAACAGATGCTTTCAGTTAGCTGGTTCTTCATTGAAGGGGAAATAGGGGGGAAAAAAAAAAGTGTGTGATTAATACTTGTTCAGATCAGATCTGCCTCTTTGTATATGTTTCTCCCTAGAACACAGATATTAGTCATCCCTGCATGGACACTTCGCTTACTGCACCGGGGCGCATGTGACTGCTTTCTCACTGTACAGGCCTTCTACCTGTTCCTCTCCCCCAGCTGACAATGGGCTGTTGGGTACAGTAATAGGATGAGATTTCAAACCTTACCCTTGGTTACAAACATGTCAGATCCTGTGATCTAAATGGACTTGTCAGCCTGTGTGGAGGTGGCTGTTGTAGAGTGCTGGCTATGCCAGTCCCCTCAACAGATTGATTGTCACATGGGGGATAGTATTTATTTTAATCTTTTTTCTAACATACAAGGATTTCTCCCCCTTAACTGTGAAACAGCAGGTACGCACCACTTGTGGAGTTATCTAGGGTAGCTGTTCACTGAGAGTGACCGTATCAGCGGCACAACTAATGGCCTTTTTTTCTGGCACTCCATAGGTGGTAGTAACCAACACAGTTCCTCATGAGGTACAGAAGCTGCAGTGCCCCAAGATAAAGACTGTGGATATCAGTTTGATTCTCTCTGAAGCCATCCGACGAATCCACAATGGCGAGTCCATGGCCTATCTCTTTCGCAACATCACTGTCGATGACTAGACCTGGCACTGCCCCTGTCCTGGCTTCCACAAGAGAAGGAAATATGCATGAAAAGGCAATACCATAAATTATAGGCATAATGCAACTGTTTATTCTTGTAGGAGCATGAAGGTTTCCAGGGTCTTGAGCCATGAGATCTAACAGAGAAAAAAAAATCAACCTGAAATCAACCTGACCAGCACTTTACAAGTGAATAGAAGAGGCCACTGGCAGTGGAGAGGATTACATCTTAGTTAAGAGAGGTGGAGAAAAGAGGTGGTGTTGAATTGTTAAGTTCCTTTAATTTTTTTTTTTTAGTGTGTTATCTCTTGCCCTGTAGAGGGGGAAAGAAAAGCAAAAAAGTAGTTGTCAGCTTATGAGGAGGGAATAGAGACTGCTCATTGCTGTGTGTGGGCAGCAAGAGGAGACAGCCTTTGGGTTTCTGTTTCTGACTGTGGCTCGCCTGAGAGCGCAGAAGGGAGTGCTTCGTTCAGGCAGCTGGGCAGGACTGCTTGCTGCTGGCAGAGCTGATCAGCAGAGCAGCTCCTTGCCAACTGAGTGGCCTCTCATCTCTTGCACAGCATAGCAAGGACTTTCATCAGAACTAAGTTAGCGGAACATCCAGAAAGGGCAGCTTAGGGCAACCCATTCACAGGGCTACTCGTATCCTTGTGTCTGGGGTGCTGGGAACAAGCTCACATGTGTCTCCCAGCAGGGCAAGGGATGCTAGTTAATGTGCTGGCCTTTTCATTTTGCGAGCCTTGGATCATTATTGTTCTTCAGGGTTTAGGTCCTCACTTGAACACTTGCCTGCACTGCAAGACCGGGCGTGATTTCTGGAGTTGCCTGGGGCTGATGAGTTGTGGTAGAGTCTTGTGGGGAAGGGGAGTTGGAACAATATCTGCCTCTAATGCAGCTATGCTCTCCAAAACACTAACACTGAACCTGCAATAAAAAGCATAGGATTTTTCATTTTTGGTGTTTCCTGTGAACCCTGTGCCCTCTGAACAGCTGCTGTGTCCGTACCGTGGGGCTGTTGCTGTAACCAGGCTCACTTGGCAGCTTGTGGCCTTCTTCCACAAGGAAGTAGGATTTTCTGCTTGCTCCTTTCTTGAGCAACAGTAAACCTTGGCTGGAGGGGACACAGAGAAAGCAGCATAAGGTGCTTGAAGGACTTTGTCTCCAGGGTGATAGAAGGTAAATTCCCAAACTCTGATCTTGCCCCTGATAAGACAGACAAACACGCTCCACTAAAACCTATACCACTTTCTAGCCTGTTGATGTGATGAACAAATCCTGCTTGGAGGCAGTTGCTTCAAAAGAGAGCAGTGCTCATGACGCTGTCTCTAGCAGGCAGTTGTTTAGTTTTTCCTCATCCTTCAACTTCTGCCTACATCCTTCTCTTCCACTCCAGCATCTAAAATGCGAATGCTGCCAAGGAGCAGGCAGTGATGCTGTGAGCAGGACGAGCCTTGAACAGCAGACAAACAAGTGTGCCTTGGCATGGAAGAGTTTGTCTCGCAGGATAGCGTCTGGTCTCATAGCTGCTGAGGGTGCGTGAAAGCCTGGAGCAGTTAGGTCTTCACTATCCAGCACAGATTAAAACTCCAAGCCAAGCAGGGCTGGATGAGGTCTTTCAGCTGTTGATGGTTTTCCTGCATTTTCAAAGTACTATGAACAAACCTCAGCTGTGCTCTGTGACCACAGTGTGGCTTTTTGGCCTGGTGGTACAACACAGCACTGTGGCGTAAGTATTACTGAAAGGATTGACTGAAGTGTGTGAAGTCCTTGCAGATGTCTGTGTACCGCCTTATTGTTCTGAGCCAGTACCGGACCATGCTCTTCATACTGGAAGCCAGTGTTAAAAATGTGAGCAGTATTGCTCTTCTCTCTGCTTCAAACTGCTTGTCAGACCTGCCAGTAGCAAGGTCAGGGCTCCTTGAGTGCTGTTGCCCTGTTCAGGCTTGCTTTTACTGGTCTGTATTTGGGTAGAAACTGTGGAACCATGGCACCAGTGAGTAGAAGGTTGTGCCAGTATCCCCTGTTAACAGTTATCCTCCAGCTTTGCTTCAAACCCTACCCTGACTAGAAGCCGAAAGCAGTTAGCCGAACTGAAGCCAGGCGATGTTCATGTCTCAAAATCCCTAACTGCTTCAGGAAAAGTGGTACCCTGTATTTACTGCATTTCAAAGGTCACGGGAGCGAGTGGTTGGGGCCAGTGTGCACTAGGACACAGCAGCTGCCCAACCTCACCCAGCCTGGACCTAGGTTGCTATCACATCAGCATCAAATGTGGTCTCGTTTTCCCTTCTGTACCACTGTGCTGATACGCTATTTCTGCAGTGATGTGGCTCTGTGCCAGTTTAGGGGTCTTACAGCTTTTCCTGCAAGTCCCAGGTGCTTTCTAGAAAGCTTGACTGGTCCCTGGGTGTAGCTCTAGAGTTCCTGAGCCTGCAGCTCTGCCCGTTGCTGGAGTTAAGGCTTAGTCTCCCTCATAAGATGGTTTAACTTCTTGCCTCAGTGCATCTTGTTCCCATCTTTTAATCTCTGTACTCCCTCTTTGAATTGAATCCTCCCAGGTTAGAAAAGAAAAATACACAGAGAGCAGACCCTTGGTTTTAATGCCTGAAAATAAGTCTCATAGCTTTTTTAAAAGTGCAAGGTGTCTGTTCCCTTTCCTGCTTGCCCACCCCTCGTCCTTTCTTGGAAATTGTCTTCGAGCACCTCGGCGCAGGAGGGAGGTGTCGGTGCTCTGCCTGGGTGATGGTCGGACCTGGAGCCTTTGTAAGGGAAAATAAGTTCTTGTTGATTATTTTTGTAAGTATTTGTCTGATGGGATCACTCGGCTTCAAAGCTTATTCTCTTTTTCCCGCTGTTTGAATACTTCAGTTCCTGAGGTTGGCTGGCAGTACGTATTTGTCCGCGTTTCTTGTTCCCTGCTCACACGGCTCTTTGCTAGCAGTCCCTGTGCTGATGCTGTCAGCAGCAGCCTTCCACGCTTCCCGCGTGGGTAAAATCTGGCACGCTTTTTGATACTTCAAAAACCATCAAAAAACGCCCCCCGCGACTGGAGGCGCTGGCGGGCCGGGCCTCGCCTCCTCTTTTCCGGGGCGGCTCCGGACGGGCCCAGCCTGCGCACGCCCTGCCTTGCGGGGAGCTGTGTTAGGCTGCTTTAACGTACGAGACGTCACCGGTTGCGTATTAAAGGGGAAAAGGCACTCGTGCCTGTGGGCCGACGTCACCTCAAACAGCAGGG